CTCTCTCCTTCTCTCACCTTGAAAAATCATTATTAGTTAAATCCAGTCTCTCTAACTTGTTTAACTGGACAATCGAGTCTGGTAGCCTAGAGCAACAAAACATTAATAAAAACAATGGCCAATAACACAATAACCATAGATAATGTCATTTACTCTACCATCTATGGATTAACACTGCATTAACAATCATTCATAAATGTACATGTACATGTAATTATAAATTACTCTTATTATTATTATTATTGTTATTATTATTATTATTATTATTATTATTATTATTATTATTATTATTATTATTATTATTATTGTTATTATTATTATTATTATTATTATTATTATTATTATTATTAGTATTATTATTATTAGTTCTTAATCATTGTTACTGTACATTTGTTATATTATGTATTCTATTCTCACATTGTTAGTTTGTTCTCTCTCAGAGTTAATATAGTGAGAGAAGACAAGTGAGTGAGTCTATCATCTTGTAATGTCTGAATCTTATTAAATGATAATAATAGAGACTGAGGGAGAGAGAGGGGGAGGAGGAAAGGGAGACAGAGAAGAGATAATAAAACAAAGAAAGAACATGAAAAATTATCAATTGTACACGTACATGAATTTATCAATCAAAATTACATGATACTGCAATAACTCAAATCAATTGTTGAGTATTACGAATATGTTTAACATTTTTAGGATACAGTAACTAAATTTCTAACAAACTACATGTACAATGTATTAGGTAATGCCCACAAAACAAGAACGAGAGCACTAAAGTGCGTACCCTCGACACAATCTGTATGTAACAGTTTCAATAAATTAAGAGAAAATAATTGGTGAAAGTTTTGAGACAGAGAAGAAGCTTCAGCATGTACTAGATTTATTAAAACTTAGTGAATGTTTTGAGACAGACAGAGAATTTTTTGTTTTTTTAGACAAAGAGCTCCAGCATATTTGCTGCACTGCTGCTAGCTAGCTAGCTGCAGCAATGTAAAGGTGTGGCTGCAATGAAGGTGTGGCCATAGATAGTAGAGTTAAAGGGATTGGAAACAGCTCACGTGATCCCATAGCAATGAATGGAGAATGTGCGTTGCAATCCGTGTCCAAAGAATTCAATTAATTTTTATTACCTTGAGGATCAACCAGAGGAGTTTATCTAGGTTTATTTGCAAGATAGTTTGTAACTGAGGTAGCTCTTGTCGTTATACTGATATGAC